TGGGCCCTATGCGCACTGCGTCCTCTCGCCTGCATGGGCACTGTGGGACTTGGGAGGCTGCGCAGAACTCAGTGCTACTGGTTCCTGGAGGCTACTCACCAAGGAAGCCCTTGGACACCATCTGCTTCAGCAGCTCCAGGTTGCCCCCTGCGAAGCGCTCCCCAAAGGCTTTGCCTAGATCTTCTGCTACATGTTGAGCGACATCCACACCAACTTCATCCACCAGTGTGGCCGCGCCCACAGGGAAGCCAAAGCTGGTGGTCAGGGAGTCCAGCTGCTTGGGCTTGACTCCTTCCTGCAGGGGCAGCGAAGCAGGAACCTCAGAAGGGGGCCACTTGAAAGCACCCCCTAGGGGCCAGTACGGCCCCAGACACAGCCTGGTGGGAACCCAATGCTCTCTTGGGTGCCGTCTGTGGAGCAGGAGAGCTCCCCCTTGATTTGAACAAATTATTCACTTTCTTGTTTTCAGCTTTGAGTCTCAATAATAACAAGACCCCTCGGGAGACGGGGCTGTTTCCAGGCCCAAAGAGGCGCAGTAGCGGGGACCTGTACTGCAAAGCATCATGGTCCCAGGTCTGGGGGAGTCCAAGCTTGGGGGGATCCACCTCCTCCTGCCAGTATATAGCCTGTAAGGCCAGCAGAGGTGTCTGCACGTGGCAGATGGAGCTACAGAGGCAAGTGAGCACATGTTGGGCCTTCGTTGTAACGTGGCAGTGAGGGGGTAAGAGAGCAGTCACGAGTGTGCCCCGGTCACCACAGCAAGCCTGACTCCACTGCTGTGTGGAAACAGCACAGTGCAGGGGCCCCTCCTGGAGGACAGCAGGCTGCCCAACCGAAGGGGTGGGAGATGCTGCAAACATTGCAGACAGCAGTTCTCACCTGGAGAATTCGGAGGACTTCCGACATCATGGGTGCGAGGCACCTGGTGGTGTAGAAGCCAGGTCCATCCTGCCAAGGGAGAGGAGAGAGCAGGGCTCACTGGGTGCACGGCCACCAAGTCTGGGACAACTGTCCCTTCCCGGGCTTCATTTGAGGGAGGAAGGAGATTAGGGTCTCCCCCAGAATCCTCAGATTTACACTGTGGGGGCAGCCAGGCCCAGGGGCAGCACGGCTGCTGGAGGATCTAGGCCAGCAAGGAGAGTCCTGACAGCCCCAGTCGCTTGCCATTCCCGCCCCTAAGCACGGTCCCTACTATGGACAACCTATCGGAAGTGGGTGTGTTTATCTCAGAAGAACTGGACAGAATAATTAGAAAGAGCCTGACCATCAAAGAACAAAAAATCCTATCTGTGGGTGCCCACCTTCCTGACATGATCACTGAAGACAAATGGGTGCATAAGCAAATGTGGCAAAGAAAGCTGATGATGCCTAACTATCAAAAGATATAGCGTCTGGGGTCTTAAAGGCTTGAAAG